GAGACAGAGCATGAGTGGGGGAAGGAGAGAGACAGAGGGAGATACAGAATCTGAATGAAGCAGGCTCCAGGCTCTGAGCTGTCAGCACAGAGCCCGACATGAGGCTCGAACTCATGAACCACGAGATCATGACCTGAGCTGAAATGGGATGCTCAACCGACTGAGCCACCCACGTGCCCCCAACTATAGTCTGAAATGTCATATAGATCAGTTAGTCCATAAGGTATTTATATCTCTCATTAAAAATTAATCAAGGACTTCTACAAGCTTTGTTGCTGTCACTGGTATGAGACTTGCCCTCTCACCACAAACATCGGAGAAAAGGACAAAATATGAGAAACAGCAGTTTTCAGACACGAAACACAGTACTTGTGGATGCATCACAACTCTGTGGCCCCAGGGAGAACAGAACACAGATGTGAGCCCACTTGTGGCCAGCTTCCTGCATCAGTGGATTTTCCAACCCACAGAGTGAAGGGGAAGCCAAGCCCACAAAGGTCATCTTCTTAAATTCAGGGACAGAGACCAGAGCTCAGGGGAGCAGGGCAGCTAATGTCTGCAAGACCTGGGAGGGAAACAGCGGAAAGGACCACAGGCCACTGCGCTGGGCTCACGAGCGCATCACCACTGGTGCCACCGCATGCTTGGCTGGGGGAGGGGAGCTCTGGCCAGGCATAGCGCACCCAGAGCACCCTGGCCAGGACCTGCCTCACGGATGACGCAGAATGGGCAAGAGACCAAGTATGACCAGCCAGCCACTCAGAGACATCTCTGAACAACCTAGAATTACGGCAGTTACCCCAGAGAGACCAGGCCCCTGTAGAAGGATTACGCCAGCATCATAATAAAGGGGATTCTGGACTCATAACAGAAAGCAGCAATGTAAAAATCAAGTTTACTTTCACTTTCAGTAGTTAACAGAGAAGAAAACTAAACACAAACTTCATGAGAACAAAGGGAATAAATATCAGAACAGAAATAAGTAACACAAAAAATACACCAACTATAAAGATTATTAAAGACACAAAAACCAAGTTCTTTGAAATAGGACTAAAATCCGTGAGCCTCTGAGGAGACTGGACTGACTGGGAAGAAAAGATACAAATTACCAATATTGACTATGCAAGAGGAGATCCTACAACTACTAAAAAAAAGTAACAGAATATTATGAATTTTCTATCATTAAATTTGACCACTTATATGGAATAGCTAACTCTTCGAAAAACATAAATTTCCAATGAACAAAATAATCTGATTAACTCTACTGTCTACTTTAGAAATTCAGTTCATAACGACTTTCCCACAAAGTAAACTTGTAGCTCAGATAGTTTCAAGGCTGAGTATGTCCAATAGTGTAAAAAAAAAAAAAATTAATAAATAACACCAACCTTATGCCAACTACTTCAACAAACACAGGAGGCAAAAGACGCCCCAACTTCTTTTATAAGGCCAGCACCCCAGGCAACAAAGGCAGAACAAACACCAGCAAGAGCAACGAGGTCAGCATTCCCCGTGAACACAGGCACACAATCCTTCCCCAAATATCAGCAAATCAAATACCGCAATACACAAAAAGGACACTCAGCCTGAACAAATGTGATTGGGTTCATCCTGGGAATGTGAGGTTGGTATACAATCAATCAGTCCATATCAACCAACATGTTAACAGGTAAGAAAGAAAAACCATGTGATCATGTCAAGAGACACAGAAAAGCTTTTGAAAAATCTAATACCCATTCATAACAGAACCTCTCAGCAAACTAGGAACAGGAAGAATTTCCACATCCCGATAAGAGGGATATTAAAAAATTCTATGGCTAAATAATAAAACCAAATTAAAAAAAAAAAAAAATTCTATGGCTACCCTCATACATGATGTGAAAAGGCCACGTGTGCCCCATGAATGGAAAGAAGACAAGTGTGAACGCCTCACCACTTCTGTTCAACAACGCATTAGTGATCGCGGCCAGTGTGATACCGCAAGGAAGAGAAGGCTGTCCGTGCACACTTGCATAAGAGCTATACTATCTTCTTTGCACACAGCATGACCAAGTAGACAGAACATTCTAGGGAATTATACAAAAGCCACCAAAAAGGCACGAACAGACATTTCACCAAAGAGGACACGCAGTTGGAAAACGAGCACATGAAGCAACATTCCACATTAACAGCTGTTACAGAAACGCAAACTACAATGAGGTGTCACTACACACTAAAATTTAAAAAAAATTTTTGACCCCACCAAAAATTAGCAAGGCTGTGGGGAAACCGAGGCGATCATGCATGGTCAGTGGAAGTCTCATGGCGCAGCCGCTCTGCAAAGCAGTCTGGCAGCTTCCGCACGCACGCTTTCCCACACCTCCCCCCTGTGCCTGCCCGCTGTGGCCAAAGCTCACCTGTTCAGTAAGGAAGGGTCAATGTCACCTCAACTACAACCTTCATCAATGGGGCCAACACAATCTTCCTTCTCTAGTTCACAATCAATACGTGTATTAACCCAGTCAAATAAATTGCACGTAATACCCTACAGCCTTTAAATAACCGCCCCGGAATGAGGAGAACTGACCGACGGAACAAGGCACCGAGTGCTGGGCCACGTGACACCGACTAAGGAGCTGACCCAGAACAGCAGTGTGGACAACTTCCAAAAACAACTTGTGACCAACGAGTGACGGAGAGCATACAGTGCAGTGAGATGACAGCAGAGGTAGAAGAATTTTTCTGCATCTAGAAAGGGAAGAATTAAAAAAAGGACACAATTTGCATATAGCCGGTTTTATCAACTCAATACTACACACACACGAGCATATATAACATTTTTAACGAGCAAACACCAATACGAAAGTGGGCAAAAGAGAAGGGCCAACAACTAAATAAACACAAATTTCTAGTGAACTTGTGGTGGAAATTTTCAACTGAATTAGTAATCAAAGAGGTACAAATTAAAACAATGAACTGTCCATTTTTTCTCTACCAAACTGAGGTTTTTCTTCAATATTTAAGTGTTTTGAAGCACATTTCGCCAGGAATCCCCCTGCTGGTTACGGGAATATGGGTATGACTCTTCCGGAATGACCTGCTGGAAGTGGAAATCGTCAGTGCTCCTTCACTCACACACACCCTGTTCCACCTCTCACCGTTTATCTGAAAAAGAAAGACTTGCTATTTACAGGCCTCCTCTTCACATTTATTTACTTAAAAACTACACAAACTAGGGGTTGCCTACTTGCCCCCCCCCCCATGACAGAGGTGCACGGTGTTAGCTGATGAACTGAGAGGTCCTTCTCCAAGTCAGGGGTGAGGAAACCAAGGCCTGGAGCTCCAAGCTGGTGCCCTGCACCCTCTTCTGTGTCACCCAGAGGTGAGAATGGTTGTGTGCATTTGTTTTGTTTTAAAGGGCTGCAAAAAAGAGATGGGGGGGGGGACTGGGCGGCTCAGTCGGTTAAGCGTCCAACTTCGGCTCAGGTCATGATCTCGCAGTTCGTGGGCTCGAGCCCCGAGTCAGGCTCTGTGCTGACAGCTCAGAGCCTGAAGCCTGTTTCAGAGTCTGTGTCTCCCTCTCTCTCTGACCCTCCCATGCTCACGCTGTCTCTCTCTCTCTCTCAGAAATAAATTTTTTTAAAATGTTAAAAAAAAAACTTAAATAAATGAGAGAGAGAGAGTGAGGGAGAGAGGGAGAAGGAAAGGCAGGAGAGGATACATGACCTGCATTATTACGTGATGATGAATAAATGGACAAAAGAAAGGATAAGCAAATGCTCATTTGTGAACAACATGTTTTGCAAGATACAGAAAAAACATTTAAAAGAATGAATTTCAACCTAGGGACCACCAAACATATAGGCAACCGAAAACACCTAGAAAAGTCTTACACACGCCACAGACACTTGCTTTCCTAGAAGTCCAGTGTGCACGGGACGGGGAAGGGCATTAGCTGGAAACCATATGCAGCACGAGCAGCTCTTCCCGTCCAGACCCGACCCATCTAAGGAAAACGACCAAATCGATAGCATCGCCAGTTTTCTTTAGTCTGCACCCGTTATGAGCAAATCACGTAAGAAGAACGAAGCTCCTCTCATTCAAGTACATACGAGCACCAAGTGGCTTCACCCGTGGTTTTGTCACAGAGAGGTGTGTGCCGGCTGAGGGCAGCCTCCGTGGTTGTGCGACACGGCTGAAAATGCTGACGTCCGTCAGCTAGGTTCCCTCCGATGCCACCTCTGCCTACTCCCCGGGAACATAGGGGCCCCGGGCGACGACCATGCAAGGTGCCCACGGTGCGCTGCTCCTTCCGTCCCCCCCGCCTCCTAACGGAAGAGACTTCTCTGGCATCAGCAGGACGGCCAAGCACACGCACCAGGCCCCACAAGGAGGTGAACTTCGTCCAAGCTCTGGGCTCTCCGAAAACTATGGGAATCAGCCCAGTAGAGAGCCAGTTAGCAATAATGGACTCGCTTAACCCGGCCTGAATGATACCCAATTGAGAGGGTTTAAAAATAGAACCCAAGGGGCGCCTGGGTGGCTCAGTCGGTTGAGCATCTGACTTTGGGTCAGGTCACGGTCTCACGGTTCATGGGTTCGAGCCCCGCGTTGGGATCTGTGTTGACAGCTCAGAGCCTGGAGCCTGTTTCAGATTCTGTGTCTCCCTCTCTCTCTGACTCTCCCCTGCTCATGCTCTCTCTCTCTGTCTCTCAGAAATAAATAAAACTTAAAAATTTTTTTAAAATAAAAAATAAAAATAGAACCCAAAAGTAAAGGGAAAGGGAGAGAAAAGCAAGTGTCGGGCCAACAGCAACGCAAATCCACGCCCAGAGCAGGCAGGCGCTAAGCCACCACAGTACGATTTTGGCATAATTTTCAACAATCCTTTGTTAGTAATCATAAAATTATTTTGAAAAACTGTCAGTGTGTTCAGTAAGCTAGCTGGTACGCAGCCACGTTCATGCTGCCCGGCGGCAAGCGCGGCGCTTGAGCGAGGCTGCCAGGGCAAGGGCACTCACCCCCAGGGCCGGCAGCCTCTGCGTGCAGCTCACCGCCACCTTCAGCTTCCAGTCAGTTTCCCCATCGAGCTGGTCGGTGCGAATAAAACACGAACCTGGGGATGAGAAGAAAGTCCCAGAGTTACAGGTATTCAGGGCACAATTCTCCAGCAACTGGGACACAGGAATGAGGCTCTAGAGGCTCACGGAGACAGAAGTCCTGAAAAGGCTTCATTTACTTGGTTCACAAACGAGTGTGCTGAGAAGACACAGGTCATTAATGGATCACTCACCTCCGATGTGCTGTTCTTGCCTAGTAAGGCTTCATGCTAATTAGTGCTTTATTTTACAAAAACTGCATTGCCCATTTCTACCCTCAATTCATGTTCTGATAAAAAGAGAATAAATAAATACACAAAAATACCCAAGAGTATGTGCCAGAACTCCCAGCTGATCAACCACGGGACGGGACGCACAACACAAGAAGATACTAAATTACAAAATTCTGTTTACCCTTTGACCATGCTCTCACACCATTTCTCAGAACCTATACCAAACAAAGACGTGCACCAGGTGAGCCTGTCACATCGTCATGGGAACAAAGGGCTGTGAATCGGTGAAAAACAGGAGCACAGGCGGCAGGAAAAGACAGCCAAGACGGAAGATGGGGCACAGGTGGAGACGGGGGGGAGGGACAAAGGAAAGGGGGAGAGAAAGAGAACGAGAGGGACCTCAAATTCTCCTAACGATCCCTAGGGTGCACACGGCCAGGAGAATGAGGCAGTTTACAGACACTGCGTGGAAGAGCGTGGAACAGCACCTTCCCCTGAAGAGCCCGCTGGGAGAGGGAGGGGACATGCAGGTGTGGATGGGGGAGGGTGTCGCCATGCCTTTCTGAGTGCCCCCCGTTTTGCACTGCTGCCTCTGAAATCATACGTGTTTTACATGATTAAAAAAAGCAAATTACATCAAAGTCTAAAAACCAACCCCTAAGAGCAAACACATAAAGTAATATATTAGCAGTTTCATTACCAATGAATTCCAGGGACGTAAGGTTTTCAAAAGCTTACTTACAAAATCAACCAGATCCAGAAAGCCACCTCAGCCCGGGTGTGCCCTGGTGAATTAGGACAAGGACCTGTAGACAACTCAAGACCCCCAGGAGAGCCCGCACGGGACCTGTCCCACACGGCCCTCCCGACACAGAAGTGAGTCGCCCTCCTTGGACTTGCAAAGGCAAAAGAAAGACCCAGTGGGCCTGAAGACATGACACCAGCAACGGCCCCATCTGAGGGACTGACAGGACACGGACTGAAAAGCCATGAACACAGACTGAGGGTCCGTGGGCCTCCCGCTTGGCCCGAGGTACGCACGGTGGGGGTCCCGGAAGAGAGAGAGCAGGGCCAAGGGACCACCAGCTGGAGGGACAGTTCCTGAAGACCCCGCAGGCGTGACGAGCGCACGCATGTGAGCATCTGTGAAGCCCGCGGGAAGCCACGTGAGGTGAACGCAGACAGACCCGCTCTGAGACGCTGTAACCAGACTCAGGAGACAGAGAGAGAATCCTGAAAGCAGCAAGAGAGAAGAGAATCATCACACCCAAGGGACCCTCAGCAAGATTATCTGCAGATTTTTCATCAGAAACTTTGGGTTTAAAGAAAGTGCCAACACAGTCAAGACGCCACTGGAGAAAAACCCGCCACACGGGAATCCATATCCAGCAAGACTGTGCCGCACAGTGAGAGGGAGAGCAAGACGTTCCCAGACAAACACACGCCATGGCAGGTGGTGACCACCGACCTTTCCTGCAAGAACTGCTCCCAGGAGTAGTGCAGATGCAGGGACAGGACAGGAGACGGTAACCAGAGGCCGGGCGAGAGCTAAGGTCCTGGGGCAGGCCAGCACACGGGCGGGAGCTAAGATCCTGGGGCAAGCCAGCACACGGCCAGTGGCAGAAGCTGGCAGTATGGCCACAACAGTCTCTAACTTCACTTGGTTTTCTATAAGATTCACGGGATTAATAAACTTAAAGAAAAAAGAAACCATCACTCCAGAAGTTGGAATTATGTAATTCTGGCTTTTATGTTCACATCTTGCTTTCTACATAACCTAAAACAGTAATGCACTTAAAACAATTTTTAGTTTATGTTTTGGACACGTAATATACAAAATGTGATTCTGTGACATCCACGCCAAAGGGGGTTCGGAGCTGTGAAGGAGCCGTTTTGTGGGTCATCGAACCCAAGTTGGTACAAACTGAAATGAGGACCCTGTCACATCAGGGTGCTGAATGCCACTCCCACGGTGACCACAGCAAAAACAGCTCTAGAAGGGACACAAAATGCAGTGAGAAAGGGATTTAAACATTTCACTACAAAATATTAACCCAAACAGAAAATAACAATACAGGAAATGAGGACCAGAATGAGCTCTAAGGCACAGGGGAAACCACTTGCACAGTGAGAGAACTCCATCTTTGTCGTCACTTCAAGATGTCAGTGGACTGAGCTCCCCAAAGAGAGGCGGGCAGGATGAGTGACAAGGCACCGTCACCACGTGGGGATTGAGGGGGACTCCCTTCTGCTCCAGAGACACACAGAGGTTGAAAGAGGAAGGATGGCAAGAGGCGTCCAGTGGGACACAGAATGGCAGCTGGTCCCAGAACTAAACACCGAACTAGCAGATGAGGCAGCAGCTCCCTGCTGGGGACAAGCCCCCAGGAGCCGAGAGACACGTGTACGCCGTGCGCGCTGTGTTCCCACGGCGCCATCCACAGGAGCCAGGCACAGGCAAGCCTGCGTGTCCGCTGACAGGCGCACAGGTAAGGAAGGCGGCCTCCACGTACGCAGCGTTCCCGAGCCAGAAAGAGAAAGGAAAAGGTGTGACACAACACGGTGAACCCCGAGGACACCACGCTAAACGAAACGAGCCACGCGCACACACACAAATACTGCAGGACCCCACTTACACGAGGTTCTCAGGATCAGATCACACACACAGACGCAGAACGCAGGCTGCCAGAGGTGAGAGGAGGGAGGACCAGGAGCTACTTTTTAACGGACGCAGAGTTCCTGCTCTACACGGGGACAGGTGACGGGGACAGGTGACGGGGACACGTGACGGGGACACGTGACGGGGACAGCTGCACAACAAGGCGCACGTCCTGAACGTCACAAAGCCGCACGCTTACGCCTGGGTAAGAGGGGGCGATGCTGTGATTTATGACAAATGTGTGTATTTGGTCTCAGTCCACAATTCCTCGCTCTCTGCTCCCCAAACCCTCAGAATTTCCTAAGAGTAGAGAGTGATAAAGGTGTCATGTGTTAATGAAGGAGACTTCTCTCTGGACCCCACGCCAGGGCAGGGCTGTTGCCAGGATGGCCAAGCAGGTGATCAGACCTCTGTGGAGAGGGGAGGGTCTGGGGGCTGAACCAGCCAATGGCCAAGGATGTAATCGATCGTGGCGACCCAAAGAAGCCTCCATAACAATCCCAAAGGGCCGAGTTCAGAAGCTTCTCGACTGTGGACACCGGAGGCTGGGAAGACTGGCTGTCGGGAGAGGGCGCGGAAGCCCCCCGCCTCTCCCCAGACCCTTCCCTATGCATCTCTTCCTCTGGAGGTTGGGTCTTAGCCTCTGTCGTATCTTTTAAGGAACTGGTTCCCCTGAGCTCCGTGAGCCGCTGCAGCACATTGCTGGGACCTCAGAGGGCAGCCAGTTGGTCAGGAGCACAAGTGACAGCCCGGGACTTCTGACTGGTGTCCGAAGTCGGGGGTGGGGGGCATCTTACAGGCCGGAGCCCTTACTCCGCGGGATCTGACGCTGCCCCTGTGTGGACAGTGTCAGAATCCGCGGGGCCCTGCAGGTGTCCCGAGAACCACCCGATTCTGTGTGTGCGAACCCCTACCCCACGTTGGAACCGGGCCCGGGAACTCTAAAAGAGATAATAAATTTTATGTTATGTGTATTTTAACACAGTAACAAAAAGATACATTAAAAAATTAAAAGCATTCACCGGCTTTGTAAAAAGAGACTAGAAAACAGCAGTGACTGAGGACGTGCAGTGCCACAGACCAGCGGAGCCCAGAAAGCGGCCCCGGGAACACAGTCAGCTGCAGGAGACGAGCGAAACTCGCATCGTCGGGAAACGGAGCTGCACAACTAACCCCTACACAGGAAAACTGAGTCTAGACACAGACCTTATCTCCTGCAGAGAAACCAACTCTGAATGGGTCAGAGACCTAAATGTAAAATGCAGAACCATGAAGGTCCTGAAAGATAACACAGGAGAAAACCTAGGTGACCCCAGGAGGGGAGGGCCTTTTAGATACGGCACCGAAGACACGAGCCAAGAGAGAAACATGATCAGTAGGCATTCGTTAAAATTAAAAACTTCTGTTCTGCAAAAGACATTATCAGTAGAATTAGAAAACAAGCAACAGACTGGGAGGGAGAATATTTACAAAGTACACATCTGATAAAGGACCGTTATTCAACATATACAAAGAACTCTTAAAACACAACAATCAGAAAACAACACGATTAAAATATGGGCTAAAGACCTCAACAAAGAAGAAATACAGACGGCAAGGAGCACAGGAAACGGGGCTCCACGTTGTGCCGTCACTGGGGATACACGGCCACACGCTGACAGGGCATGGGCGGCGGGAGCTCGTGCTCACTGCCAGTGTGGACTCGGCATTGCACAGCTGCTGCGGAAGATAGCTTGCGGGCTTCTTGCAAACTAACCACAACCCAGCGCATAATCCGGCAGTACTGTGTGGCATTTACCCAAAGGAGGTGTGAGCGTAAGTAAAACTTACACGTGGATTTTAGATCAGCTTCTTTCATAACTGCCAAAACTCGGAAGCAACTAGGATGGCCTGCAATAAGTACACGAATGAACTGTGATCCATCCAGACAATGAATTACTCAGCACTAAGAGAAATGAGCCACCAGGCCATGAGAGACACAAGGAACCTTTCCGACGTCACTCAGTGAAAGAAGACGCCTGACAATGGCGTTCTGGAAAAGGCAGAATTAACAGAAGGGTCAGTGGTGCTGAGGGATGAACAGATGTAGCACAAAGGATTTCTACACACAACATCATTGAAGAAA